TTAATGAATTTTTGGCACATAATACATGTCCTGAGTTACTGGTGCTTCTGGCTCTGAAAATCTCAATTCTTTATTATTAAGAATTCTTTTTCTTTCTTGATTGACTTTTTAAGCTTTACTCATTCAGATTACCTGATAGTTCTTTATATGTACCTTCAGTGTTCAATATTTTTATCATCTCCTCTTTATAACCCTCTTTGTTGAAGATCACAATTCCCCCCACCCCCATCAGCAGGTCTAGTTAGCCCATTCTTCATCTTCTCAATCTTCTCTTATGTTTGCCCATATTTCTTTACTTTTAGAACCTTTTACTTTAATGTTCTTTATATCGCCTTCCAACCAACTGTTAAATACTTCTAAGAAATGAATTCCTGACACCTGTTTAGCTTTCTCAAAAGTGGCTCTGTGTCAATATAAGTATCAACCTTCTCTATCTTTTGTCTGGTGCAAACTTCAGGCTCAAGTCCAATGCTTTTAGTTCTTCTTTGTTAAAATCCAATGTACTCAGATTAAAAACCTTTTCTCCTGAAATGCTCTTTTTACTCGTAAACCCCCCCCCCCCCATATTGTTTCGTTGTTTTGTTTTTTTTTCCTATGCTGTTGTATTTCCACCTTTCCCTTGTTGTCCCTTGCATCTTTCAGTGAAGAAATTGGACAAGAAAACAAAGGAGGAAAATGGATAGATAGTACACAATACCTGTATACCAAGGGAGTAGGATATTGTCTCAAAGAAAGCCTAAGAAGGCTAAACCCCATAAACTAATGGTCATCTTCCCCATAGCTGGGTGCCAGGATGTCAGGGGCCATGAACTTCTGAAAGACCATACAGCTACTCCTACCTTTGACACAGAACCTCATAAGTGACTTCTCCCCCAGCCAAAGGTCCAATAAGTGAAAGTTCAGCCACATCTTCCGGATCACATTCAGCTCAGCATAACATGACATGTAAAGTGATACTAAACGATGCCTTGGGATAATGTAGCAACTTTCCAGCTTCACATCTCATTAATCCCCAAACCTTTGGGGAATTACAGACTAAACGTCATATTCCTATTTTTCTTTTCTTATTCATACCTTTATTTCAAACATTATTTTCTTTTCCCTCTTCCCATCCCTTATTCTGGATTGGCCTACTAAATTTAAATACATTTGTGCCCAAGGCACCACCATGTCTAATCTATAGCTGTAAAGTTTCTGAGGCCTGCCACTTATATATGTGTAAATGGGCCCAGGCCCTTCGGTGCCCCATTGCTGTGAAGTCCTGGGAAAGACTATGGGAATCTGCCTCTAAATCCTCCCTTTGTGTGGTGTATAGAGAAAATGTCTATAAGATCATGATGATGTTTTGGTACAAAGAGCCTGAGATGTTACATGCCTGCCATTCTAAGTTATCTAAATCTTGTTGGAGATGTAGCCAGGGAAAAGGCTCCCTATACTACATATTCTGGCAATGCCCTAACATTCAACCCTTTTGGTCTTATGTGAAATCTATACTTGATAAGATTTTAGATGTGTCCTTAGCCTCAGTCACTACCCATTAAATTCTGGACTTAGCGTTCCCTGGATCCAAGGCCCTTTTATTTTACAGGTATTAACTATTACAGCTATTACATTTAATATATTTAATGTTGATTAATAATTAAACTAAGCTTTTTGTGAGTTTCTTAGTGAATGTAATCAATCAACATATTATATTCTGTCCCCGTTAGTGCTTAGCAATAGGAGGACATGGAGGAGGAGGTGGGAGGGAGGGAAAAAGGAGAGTGTCATTTACCACTGTGTATATGTGAACATGTGTCACTCTATAGTCATGTCAGAGCTTAGGAGGGAACTGAAACTGGGGCATGCTCATTAAATGACAACGGTCTACACAATCTCGGGCTGCAGTGAGGAACAGAGAAGATGGGAGGGACAGCTGAAGGCAGGATCAACCAGGTATATATCACTCTACACAAAACAAATGCTTTGGTGACTTTGTTTGTATGCACACTCTGTTATATAGCATGTAATGAGAGTTTTCATAGTCTAGGTTTAAGACACTTTAATACAAGAAACTCTGGCCTTACTTAGAGTGTTTTAACAAAATATACTAATTTCACTGAAATCCCTCCTACAACAGGTCCTTACTAATATGGTGTCTCGTATACAAGTGAAAATCAACCAAACTGGTGAACACACAGGTCAAAAAAAATGGGAGAATTTGCCATTGCTCATAATGACTTAGTGGACTCTCAAAACAAGTAGGTTGGTGATTTGAAATGATATATGTGCTCCCAAAGTACAAGTGCTTTTTAGACCAAGCATGCTAGGCATATACCTATAGGGATTCATTCATAAGCAATACCGCCTAGGACGAGCCTCCCCTCATACACTGTAGTACTAAATCCACCACTTTATAGATATCCGGAGAGTGGAATATGTAACATATTTACTGTAGTGCAGAGGGGAAGGATTGCTATTCTGTCTGCAGCATGTATTGAAGAAAGGGCCTATATTACCCCTGAAGACTTAGGGGTGAATGTCCAGTGGTGGCTCTACCTACAACATAGCACCAACATCACGATTTGAGGGCACACAGGACCTCTTTGTAAAGGCACGATGTTACAGAGGCAGAGGCATGCAGCTTAGTAGTTATTACTTTCACAATGTGGGAAAATAAACCCTTGCTGAGTTGCTAACTGCCAGATTAGAACGGAGCCCTGTACTGTTTGCCTGGCAGTCTCAGCATTTCCTCCTGTTCATTTATCCTTCTGTCACCCTGAACCCCCGTATGTTAATGTGTTCCTCCATCTTTCCCTTCTACCTTTATCACTTTTTACTATAATTATGATGCCACTCCTGTCCCTCCTCACCCACTGCAAAGCTTCTCCATGGTGGGGGGGGGGGGGGGGGGGCAGGTTTAACGGAGGAAGTGGCTAAGGGTGTTGTTTGCTTTCACGGCGCAATGGAGCAGAGTGGAGCGCTGCAGCCTCATGTGCGAGTCTGCGGGACAGGATCAAGGCAAGCAGGGAGTAGGACTGTCAGTGCTCTTTGGACTGAAAGCAACACCTGGCTGTCACTGTGACTCAGGAGATGTGTCATGTCATTGAGGTGTCACCATCATCTGTTCTTCTGCACAATGTGTCAATGTCACTGTGAGAGTTAGTTTCATGTGCGTGTGCCTCTCCATTCTAGTTTCTTGCCCTCCTGAGTCCTGTCCCTGAGCTACTTGCTTACTATATCAAAAATTAAAAATACATTTTTTTTGCCTTATCTACCTTAATTCACATTGGTAATTGAATATTGTACTTGTTTGTAGCCTAAATACTGAAATTTGCACTTAAAATTGTATTTTTCTAACTTTTGGAAATGCAAGTAAAAACTTGTCTTTGCCAGTTAAATTTGGGTGTTGTGTCAGTGAATTTGTCTGGTAGGTTGGCAACACTACTCTCCTTGGACCCTGCATCCACCTCCCTTTTCTCATTCTGAACCACTGCTTCTAACTATGAACCCCCTCCTCCCATGCTGCCCCCTGTTCCCTCCTGTCACCCTGCTGTCCCTTCCCCTCAGCCAACCCCATTCCTATCGATTCCACTAAACCAATACACCTATGGCCTGCTACCACTTTAACAGTCCCTGCCCCAGCTTGGCTGGTGACCTGCCATTCTTTATGGATGCTGGTGTCACTCCTCTCATCCTTCGCTTACTGCCTCCTATTGCTCCACCTTTCACCCTACCATTTTTTTTTCACACTGCAACACTTGTTCAATTTGAAAAACCATTTTTACTGACCTACATGTAACAGTGAAGATAAAAATAAATTTCCAGCTGTATAAGATTGTCCTGTGACCTGTTTATGGGTGGGACTTAAAGTGAAATTAAAAACGATATCCGTATTCGTCAAGCATAATCCATACACATCCACTACTTAATGGCCCTGTAATCTATTTTTCTTTAAGTCATCTTACTCTCTTTTTCATCCTCTGTGAGTTCCTTTTGGCCCTCATTTGCATTTGGTTGAAAAGCACAGTACACATTAGCTACTAAAAGTTCTCATAGTGCATAGTCCATATTGGAGCAAGAGTGAGTGGCTCCATTCCCACAGTGGAGCTGTGGAGACTGAACATACCCACCATTTAACACGAAATCTGATTGCAGCAACAAAAAGCAAAAAAGAAAAAAAAAATAAATTGGAGAAAGCGGAGAGCAGTAGAAGGTAGTTAAGAGTTTTACTTAAAGTGGAGTTCCAGTTGAATAAAAAAAAAATAAAAGTTTTTTTAAAAAAAAATAAAAGCTACAAAAACTGTACTTGCTGACTTTTAAAATACCGACACTCACCTGTCCTTTTGTCCAGTGGTGTCCTCATCACGGCTGGTTTCACCGGCCGTCTTCTCTTCCTGGCACCGGCATCTTCAGTGTGGGCACCCGGCTGTGATAGCTTGCGGCTCCACACCCAGGTGCCCACTGCACATGCGCATGTAGAACTGCACTTTGTGAATGGTCTTGTAGTCTTCTGGGACCTGTCACATGTCCCAGAAGACTACGGGGAGGGGGGAGGACAACTTCTGCTTCTGATCGCCTTAGGTGATTGCATCGGAAGTGGGAGTGAGAACCGGTCAAATTCAGATACCCGCTCCCCAAAGGTGCCGATCCCTAACAGGGAGCGGGGAGGAAGCCTTAAAGTGGAACTTCCCCTTTTGCGTGGAGCTCCACTTTAAGAGTTGATACTTGAATAGAATTTTGTTAAGCCTTTCTGTGCCTGTAAGCTCATGGGATGGAAATATGGTCCTGATAATGTTATAGTAAAGGTGACATATAAATTGTATCGGTTATAAAAATTGACTGTTTAATGGGGCTTTGCTCCTTCAAAAGCAATTAAAGTCAGATGCCGCTAACCAGCCATAATTAAAATTTCTCTGTTCTGCATAATTTCAAATTAGTAAATTAAGCTTTAACATCAAAGTCCTTCCTAGATAAATGTCTTATATTTATGTTTGCACAAGTATTCTAAATACTTGCTCTTTCTCTTCAAAGGGATTGCTCAGAAATGTACAGCTATCAAGTATCATTTCTCTCAGCCGATTCGTCTGAGGAACATTCCATTCAATTTGACCAGGACTATTCAGCAAGATGAGTGGCACCTTCTACGTAAGTAGGAAGCTTCAAATGACACAAGAAAGCAGTTGTGAAGGTGAAGAGGATACATTTAACGAAACACAATTTCTAGATATGTGTATTTATATGTATGTATGTGTGTTTCTGTGTGAGGAAAACAAATCATTTTAAGCCATTAAAACTTGTTTTATTGTTGGCAACAGATATTGTCGATCTATTGAATCTGCAACATACATACTGATCACTTGTACCATTTATTCATAACTGGAGCATGATAAACATTGTTTATATTGTCTTCAGTTTGCGAATAAACAGGAAGTCTATGTATAGTGTGCTTTCTTGTTCATTCATTAAGTGCATGTGCATCTCCAGAGGAGGAGGAGAATAAAGCGGAACTTCGCTCTCTCAATCAACATGGGCGATTTCTAATCCTTATGCTGCGAGCATTAGTAAATAAATTAAAAAAAGTATATCATATTTACTTGTTTTAACTTTTTGTTTTGCATTCCTTCATTTACTTCCTGGTTTCCATGCCTAGGCAAATAATCTCATACACCCCAGGAGTCTTCAGGAGGGGAGGGAGAGTTATCAGCTCAGCCTATGCCTGAGCTAAGGACAGATGGATTGCAGGAAGTAACTGCTACATGAATCATCTGCCCTTACTCAAGATGGCCACTGCCAAAAATGCCAGGAGGTGTTTTTCAAAATAATTTCTCAGTAAAATAAAGCATGGAGACATGGATGGATGAAGGAGTTTGTTTTGAATATTAAAAATGAATTGTATAGCATTTTTAGTTTGTGGTACTCAGATGCAGTGCAGTTACACTTTAAGGACTCCCTGTCCTCAATCTCTTTCTATCTCATGAAAGTGAAACACCAGACCACTAATATTTCACCAACCCCTCTCCACACCCCATACAAAAGAAAAATATAACATGTACGGAATAAAAAAAAATACATAAAAATAAAAAAAAAAACATTATTAAAGTGGTTGTAAAGGCTCAAGGTTTTTTTTTACCTTCATGCATGTTGGGATCAAAGAGAATTTTTACACAATGCCGAGAATTATCCCCTTAGGTTCCACAGCAAGTATAACAAGCGTTGCTAGTCGGGATGGAGAGGATGGGGGGGGGGGGCGCAGGACCCCTCCTCTTCTCCATCTACACCTCCTCCCTTGGCAAACTGATACACTCCTACGGCTTCAACTATCACCTCTATGCCGACGACACACAAATTTACCTCTCCACCCCTCACCTCACCCCCTCTCTCTCCGCCCGCATCGCCCACCTCCTGAACGACATATCAGACTGGATATTGCTCCATTTCCTCAAGTTAAACCTGTCCAAAACCGAGCTCCTGGTTTTCCCCCCAACCTGCGCCCCCCCCCATCCTCTCCATCACGACTAGCAACACCACCATCAATCCCACCCCACACGCCAAAGTCCTGGGTGTCACCCTGGACTCAAACCTTTCCTTCCAACCTCATGTCCAATCACTATCAAAATCATGCAGGCTCCACCTCCACAACATCTCCAAGATACGTACATTCCTCACCCCAGACACTACTAAACAACTCATACACTCCCTCATCATCTCACGCGTGGACTACTGCAACTCCCTTCTCACTGGCCTACCCAAACAAACGCTATCCCCACTCCAGTCTATCCTGAACTCAGCGGCTAGACTCTTCCACCTCACCAACCACTCCACATCTGCCACCCCCCTCTGCCAATCCCTTCACTGGCTCCCGATTGCCCAGCACATCAAATTTAAATTACTAACTCTGACCTACAAAGCCATTCACAACGCCGCCCCAAACTACCTAACTGACCTAATACCCAAATACCACCCTACCCGTGCCCTTCGCTCCTCACAGGACCTCCTACTCTCTTGCTCCCTGGTCTCCTCCTCCCACGCCCGACTCCAGGACTTCTCCAGAACTTCCACCATCCTCTGGAACTCCCTACCCCAATCCATCAGACTCACCTACCCTCCTCACCTTCAGGCGCACCCTAAAAACCCATCTCTTCAGGGAAGCCTACCCCACCCTCACCTAAGAACCGATCTCCTCCACTCCTCCCACAACTCTATGCCCCACAGCCACTTCCTCCTGTACCACTATCCCCTCTCTCCTAGATTGTTAGCTCGAAAGAGCAGGGCCCTTGAACCCCTCATGTATTGTATTGTTACTGTATTGTCTCATGTTCTGTCCCCCTCGCTATTGTACAGCGCTGAGCAAACCCTTTGGCGCTATATAAATACTGTATAATAATAATAATAATGAGCTGAAGCTCTCCAGTGCCGGTCATGCAGACCCAGTCCATGGCACTCCCACCACCACCATGCTTGACACATTTGTCTTTGTACTCCTCACCTGGTTGCCGCCACACACACGCTTGATACCATCTGTATCAAATAAGTTTCTTTTGGTCTCATCAGACCACAGGACATGGTTCCAGTAATCCATGTCCTTAGTCTGTTTGTCTTCAGCAAACTGTTTGCGGGCTTTCTTGTGCATCATCTTTAGAAGAGGCTTCCTTCTGGGATGACAGCCATGCAGACCAATTTGATGCAATGTGCGGCGTATGGTCTAAGCACTTATAGGCTGACCCCCCAACCTTTGAACCTCTGCAGCAATGCTGGCAGCACTTATACGTCTATTTCCCAAAGACAACCTCTGGATATGATGCTGAGCACATGCACTCAACTTCTTTGATTGACCATGGCGAGGCCTGTTTTGAGTGGAACCTGTCATGTTAAACCACTGTATGGTCTGTGCTGCAGCTCAGTTTCAGGGTCTTAGCAATCTTCTTATAGCCTTGGCCATCTTTATGTAGAGCAAAAATTCTTTTTTTCAGATCCTCAGAGAGTTCTTTGCCATGAGGTGCCATGTTGAACTTCCAGTGACCAGTATGAAAGAGTGAGAGCGATAACACCAAATTTAACACACCTGCTCCCCATTCACACCTGAGACCTTGTAACACTAACGAGTCACGTGACAGTGGGGAGGGAAAATGGCTAATTGGGCCCATTACGGGTTCATAAACTCACTTTTGTTGTCAGTGGTTTAGACATTAATGGCTGTTTGTTGAGTTATTTTGAGGGGTCAGCAAATTTACACTGTTACACAAGCTGTACACTCACTACTTTTTACATTGTAGCAAAGTGTCATTTCTTCAGTGTTATCACATGAAAAGATAAGATAAACTATTTACAAAAAATTTGAGGGGTGTACTCACTTCTGTGAGATAGTGTGTGTATATATATATATATATATATATATATATACATATATATATATATATATACATACATACATACACACACACACACACACACACACATATATATACATACATGCACACACACACACACACACACTGTATGTTGAAATGCGGTTTTACAAAATATATGAAAAATATTTTTTAAAATACATTTCAAATATACTGTATGTCTTTAAAAATACAAATTTAAATTTTTGGAATGCATTTACAAATATATGTAAAAATATATGTTAAAATTACTTTTATATGTTAAAAGAAATCTGAAGAATATATTTTAACAAAATATATATTTTTAAAAATATTTTTTTAAATATATTCTTCAGATTTTTTTTAGATCTATAAAAGTAATTTTAACATATATTTTTACATATATTTGTAAATGCATTCCAAAAATGTAGATTTGTATATTTAAAGACATACAGTATATTTGAAATGTATTTTTTTTTATATTTTTCATATATTTTGTAATTAAAACGCATTTCAACATACAGTATATATCTATTTATTGAAATATATTTTGAAATATATTTAATATGGCCAAAATTGTAGCATTTAAATATATGTCAATATATTTTGGAAGAATATATTTTAAAATATATTTCCAATATATTTTTCTTCCATATGGGTATGTCTGGAAATGAAATGTAATAGAAAATCTAAACTCTTATCAAACCCAATGCATTATTCTACCAGAGAGAAGAGACTAACCCTCTTTTCTTCTTTGCACTTTCTGGTACAGATTTAAGAAGAATTACTGCTGGGTTCTTGGGTATGGCTGCAGCAGTACTCTTATGTGGATGCATAGTTGCTACAGTCAGCTTCTTCTGGGAAGAGAGTCTTACACAGCACGTGGCTGGACTGCTTTTTCTAATGACAGGTACTTTCTCTTTTTTTTTTCACAAATAGGCCAATCATAATGAACACAGCCTTCTTTCCATGTGGTTAGCAAAACACAACACTAAGCAGCATGTATGGCACCAAAACTGACCATCCTATAGGTACAATTGGACTTTGATGAAGTTAGAAGTTTTGTTCAATTTACCTTTAATCTAGGATTTACATAACCCCATACTGCAAAATACAGCAGGCTTCTCAAACGTCTTCTGCTTAGAATTGCCAATTTTTGACACACAGTTGTGCTCTGCCCAACCATTCTTTTATATTCTTTTAAGCTGCATGTGGCTTAAAGAAAGCAATGCTATTGGGACCATGGAACCCACTAGGTGAACATTTTGTGAGCTCAGAGTGAGAAATATTTTCTAAGTTAAGAATACTAGCACCTATTAGTTCTTATCAACGGAGGCACCAAGTAAAGAATGCAAAATTGAAGAATAAAGTCATTCAGCAGTGAGCAAGTAAAATGCAAGAGATATACGTTTGAATGATGTGTACCTATAGCAACAAGTTTACATTAAGAATCTGCCATGTGCTGAGTGGGATAAGCAGTTTCAGTGTTGTAATAGGAGAAAAAGTGATGGGAATAACAGTACAGCCCACATGAGAAGGAAATTACAGTTCTGTACACCAGCAGTGTACAAATACCCTTACAGAAGGAAGCATTCTATTAGCATGTTCTTTTTTTAGCATATGAGCAGTGCAGCACAGCAGAGTGATTTCTTGTGTTGCTTGTTCCTCTTCCATTCTGAGTTCTACTGTACAGTGAATTGTAAAAGGCTGTTCCTACGTTTCACTTCTACATCATAATTTCCTGTCTTACAATATGAACACTGGACTAAATTAGGGCACAGAAAGGAATATCAAGTTAGCTTCATTTATTATTTATTACAGGTTTTATATAGCGCCAAATTTACTCAGTGCTTTACAAATATACTGTACATTCACATCAACCCCGAACCCTCAAGGGGCATACAAGCTTTGGTCCCTAACTCACATTCATACATACACATACTAGAGCTAATTTAGACAGGATCCAATTAACCTACCAGCATGTCTTTGGAGTTTGGGAGGAAACCGGAGTACCCTGAGGAAACCCACTCAGGCACAGGGAGAACATGCAAACTAAGTAAGAAGAGGTCTTCTGTATAATATAGCAATATAAAATGCATTTTAAGATTTGAGAATTCAAATAACAATGGAAACTATATCCTCATCTTTGGACTCTCCTCTATAGAATACAGACATAATGTTTTTGAAGGTTCATATACAGTCAGGTCCATAAATATTGGGACATCGACACAATTCTAACATTTTTGGCTCTATACACCATCAGAATGGATTTGAAATGAAACGAACAAGATGTGATTTAATTGCAGACTGTCAGCTTTAATTTGAGGGTATTTACATCCAAATCAGGTGAACGGTGTAGGAATTACAACAGTTTGCATATGTGCCTCCCACTTCTTAAGGGACCAAAAGTCATGGGACAGAATAATAATCATAAAACAAATTTTCACTTTTTAATACTTGGTTGCAAATCCTTTGCAGTCAATTACAGCCTGAAGTCTGGAATGCATGGACATCACCAGTTGCTGGGTTTCATCCCTGGTGATGCTCTGCCAGGCCTCTACTGCAACTGTCTTCAGTTCCTGCTTGTTCTTGGGGCATTTTCCCTTCAGTTTTGTCTTCAGCAAGTGAAATGCATGCTCAATCGGATTCAGGTCAGGTGATTGACTTGGCCATTGCATAACATTCCACTTCTTTCCCTTAAAAAACTCTTTGGTTGCTTTTGCAGTATGCTTTGGGTCATTATCCATCTGCACTGTGAAGCAGCATCCAATGAGTTCTGAAGCATTCGGCTGAATATGAGCAGATAATATTGCCCGAAACACTTCAGAATTCATCCTGCTGCTTTTGTCAGCAGTCACATCATCAATAAATACAAGAGAACCAGTTCCATTGGCAGTCATACATGCCCACGCCATGACACTACCACCACCATGCTTCACTGATGAGGTGGTATGCTTAGGATCATGAGCAGTTCCTTTCCTTCTCCATACTCTTCTCTTCCCATCACTCTGGTATAAGTTGATCTTGGTCTCATCTGTCCATAGGATGTTGTTCCAGAACTGTGAAGGCTTTTTTAGATGTCGTTTGGCAAACTCTAATCTGGCCTTCCTGTTTTTGAGGCTCACCAATGGTTTACATCTTGTGGTGAACCCTCTTTATTCACTCTGGTGAAGTCTTCTCTTGATTGTTGACTTTGAAACACATACACCTACCTCCTGGAGAGTGTTCTTGATCTGGCCAACTGTTGTGAAAGGTGTTTTCTTCACCAGGGAAAGAATTCTTCGGTCATCCACCACAGTTGTTTTCCGTGGTCTTCCGGGTCTTTTGGTGTTGCTGAGCTCACCAATGCATTCCTTCTTTTTAAGAATGTTCCAAACAGTTGTTTTGGCCATGCCTAATGTTTTTACTATCTCTCTGACGGGTTTGTTTTGTTTTTTCAGCCTAATGATGGCTTGCTTCACTGATAGTGACAGCTCTTTGGATCTCATCTTGAGAGTTGACAGCAACAGATTCCAAATGCAAATAGCACACTTGAAATGAACTCTGGACCTTTTATCTGCTCATTGTAATTGGGATAATGAGGGAATAACACACTCCTGGCCATGGAACAGCTGAGAAGCCATTTGTCCCATTACTTTTGGTCCCTTAAGAAGTGGGAGGCATATATGCAAACTGTTGTAATTCCTACACCGTTCACCTGATTTGGATGTAAATACCCTCGAATTAAAGCTGACAGTCTGCAGTTAAAGCACATCTTGTTCGTTTCATTTCAAATCCATTGTGGTGGTGTATAGAGCCAGAAATGTTAGAATTGTGTCGATGTCCCAATATTTATGGGACCTGACTGTAGGTGAATACATTCACCATTATGGCTTGAGTGTTACAAAATGTATATGCAGCTACTGAAGAATACACTCCCAACTCCTGAATTTGTGCCAGGTCTGTGATAAAGAAAACATTAAAGCTAGAGGATCAGCATGATGGACAGACAACTATTTTTTTCAGAAGCAGAGTTCAGGAACTGCAGTCTATGCATTACTGTCTGTGCCAGTTTCTTACTAGGTTGTTACTAACAGCTACATATTCAGTGAAGAGCCAAGGTAAGGAGTCACAACCAAGACCAGTTCAGTCTTACTAGATAGTGTCCACCCAAAAAATATAGATAATGGTTTGCCCATAATTACAGTATATCCACCTTTAGACCTAAGGGTCAGCGAGCAGGGAAAAAAATATACCTGAAATTGTTGTAGCTTACTCATAAAAATAAGCATTTCAATGCATACCTACAGAAAGCAAACTTCTTAACCAGTATAATCAGCATTAGAATTAACATAAATCATACACAATCATTGATGTGTATATATGCTGGTCCATTGTAAATTTTAATTTTAAAGATTTTGAATATTAAAATGGTAATTGTTTTAATACTGAAGCAAGAATAGTTTTAAAGAAGTGAGTATAGAGCAGGGGTCTCCATTCTGTGGCCCTTTTCTTGCCTTTATCTTGCCCTTGGGGAACTATTCCTTCCATTATTAAAAGGCACTATTTCTTCCACTGACACCAATGATGGGAAATTACTCCTTTCGCTGACACCAGAGATGGGAAACTAATTCTCCCACTGACACCAGAGATGGGAAAATAATTATCCCACTGACACCAGTGATGGGGCACTATACCTCCCACTGACACTAATGATGGGAAATTACTCCTTTCACTGACACCAAAGATGGGAAACTAATTCTCCCACTGACAGCAGTGATGGGGCACTATTCCTCCCACTGACACCAATGATGGGAAATTACTCCTTTCACTGACACCAGAGATGGGGAACTAATTATCCCACTGACCCCAGTGATGGGGCACTATTCCTCCTACTGGCACCAATTATGCAATTTTTTTTTAATCCCACTGACCACAAAGACTATGGCATTGTTTACCCCAATGCCAGGGTATTTTCTACTTCCACTAGCCACAGTCTAGCCCGCCTAAAGGTTCAAGGACAGTAAACTGGCCCTTTGTTTTGAAATTTTGGAGACCTCTGGTCTAGAGCAATATAGACAATGTTAGAAGCATGTGAGCTTGCCATGCAATGCAATGTGTAAATGTAACTTTTAAAGGTATTTATTACCTCTCATATTGATCATGGCACCCCATCTGACAATACCTTCATCTTCCTTTCCCAGCGAGATAATGATATCTTTATTCAGGCAACAAAATTTCAGGGTCAGAATTCATCTTGGACTTGGATGCTGGTCCATAGTGGCAGTATCATGTATATCTAAATGACTGTACAAAAACCTTTATTTTAGTGGCTGTTTGTATGCATGATTTCACATACAGATCAGTATCCTGCTGCTAACTCTGACCAACCAGTATAAATGTCACCCTCACATTGTATCCATCATTCTCATACTGACACAAAAATTATTCCTAAACAGACTACGTGATACTGTGGTTAGGCATAGTCACCTGACTGCTATTACACCCTATAACATTGCTCTTTAACTTGGCTGCTATACCCCTATTACACTGATCTTTAGGCACTGCATCCAACTTTGACAACTCCTTTTGAAAGCTGTTGGATCCAACCCATCATTACAAAGCCCTGTAAAGATGTAGGGGCCAGTGAAATTAACAATGCACAGTTGTGGACAAGCACTATTGGATGCTGAAATTTTTTTTTAAAAATGTGTCTGCTTCTGAGATCTGTCATAGTTAATGTAAATGTGCTATGGAGGGAAGAGTAAATGCTCTAATGCACTGTAATGGAAAGCATAGTTACACTTTACATTAAAAATAAATAAAAAAAATCAAATTGCTTAAAAATCACAAACTTTCTGTATATTTTACTAACATATATCTCTGATTTGTTTTAGGAATATTTTGCACCATTTCTTTATGTACTTATGCAGCAAGTGTCTCCTATGATCTGAATCGCTTGCCAAAATTTATTTATGGGCTTCCAAGTGATGTGGAACATGGATACGGCTGGTCTTTGTTTTCTGCCTGGTGTAGTTTGGGCTTGATAGTGGCAGCTGGATGCCTCTGCACTGCCTATCCATTTATCAGAAGGACCAAGATTTTGCATCTAAAGTTTGCCAGAGACTCTTGTGTATGACTGACACAAGCTATGACTTTCCTGCCATTTTCAAGAAACCCTGTGCACTACAAAACTGATTAAACCATTGCACAGACTGAGAAAAACTATGTTGGAAGCACAAACACTGTACGCTTAAAAGATTCAAGGAAGATATAGCTTCCTGCTATGTACAAATAAATAGTTATTGACCCAGTGGCCTTCATTGCTCCACTGTTGGCTCTGCCCTTGAGTCCCTTTGCCTGCCTTGTGCACTACTGGAAACTACCCACTGGAATGTAACATGGTTGGATTATAAACTAGAATCGGTCCTTTGTTTAACAAGAAAGTAAAACTAAATGTCCTCAAATACAACTGACACAGCCTTCCAAAGCATGGAAATACTGTGAAATCAAGTGCTTTAAGAATCCATTATTTATGCAACATGTTTATGTGCGTCACTGACAGATCTGTCAACATGCAAACTTTGCCTAGTTAAAAAAAAACAACCTTCATCTATAGTACTGCTTCTATTTTTCTCTTGCTTTTGCTTGTCATCATTTTACAGAAAATAAAAAAAGACATACGTTTTGGGAAACAGACCTTCAGGAGTTACATTGCTATGTTGTTAATCTCATGCTTGATAAGTTTTACATTCAAGCTGTTTCAAAGCCATTTGAGCTCCTGTTCAATTATTATAACCATTTTGCATCTTATCACCTGATGTGATTTCTTAAACTGTGTCATTCCTGCTGTGCCATAGAAAACTGTTATAAAATACAGTGAAACTAATGAAAGTTTTTTGTATATATTGCCCATTACCAAATTTATTTTCTTCACGTAAGTGGTTTATTGTAATATCTCTAGATTCCTATTGCATCATTATATTCATGAACATTGCAGAAATAATCTCGCTGGATGTGTCTAATACTAATTTCAACAATATTTTAATCATGGACCTATAAGAATATAGGGACTAAAACTGACATATCATTACACCTTACCTATCAAAACCTTAACGCTTGCATTATAAGGCAATTGGAATGGTCTTTTCTTTTTTTCCATGGCTATCAGGTTTAGAGGAGTTGATAAGGGGGCTTATTATGACTACCGTCTGTGTCATCAACACAACTGATTGGGAATATACCCCATTTGCTGCCTTCTTTTATGGTGAGGGGGTTATTTTATTTTTTTTTATATAATTTAAATATTTATTGATTTTCCAGTTTAAATACATATTTCCATCATCATCACATTATATAAAAAAAATACCATTATCCTTTATTTACCCTTTCAGAAATTATTTCTCTGTCCCTCCCTCCCCACCCCCATCCCCCCCTTCCTGCATTTTCTCCCCAATCTTCTTACCAAAGCAAGTGGATTTTATCCTACCTTTCATTTTATACTTTCCTATATTTCGTGTATAATCTGGCTTTTTCCCATTTCTCCCATTTCACATTATAAGCCTCCATCTTATCTTCCTGAATATAATATAGTTTTTTCCATCTTTCTAATCTGCTCCACTCTTTCTATCCAATCCTCCTCTGTCTGCACTTCTGTTTTCCGCCAAAACTTGGGTATCAGACCTTTTGCAGCATTAAGATAGTACCATATACCTGATTCTTTATCTTTATTCACTGTTATATCTGTATTATGCAAGATACATAGTTCTGGGTCTAACCCTAAATCTATTTCAGTTATCATTCCTATCAGATAGATTATTGTCCTCCTGAATATTTGGATTTTTGGGCACCCCCACCCTATATGGTATACCGTACCTATCTCTCCACATCCCCTCCAACACAACGGTGAATTCTCTCCACACATCTTATGTTCTACATTTGGTGTAATGTGCCATCTTCTTAAACATTTATAATTTATTTCTACTTCCTTCATACTTATATTTTCGTGAGTTAATCTATATATTTTCTTCTGTTTTTCTTCATCTATCACAACTCCCATATCACTTTTCCATTTTACTATATATGCTGGCTTTGTGTTTGTGTCTAATTCAGTGAGAATTTTGTAAACTTTAGCAATCCCATGTTTCCCATCACCTCGTGTCCCCAACAACTTTTCAAACAAATTCCACTTATCTCTTGTCCTTAGAGGTTTTCACAGATTCCCAACAAAATATCTCAATTGGAAATACCGCCATTCATCTAACTTAGTGAATATTTCTCCCTTTTTTTTTTCCAAGTCCTTAAGTGACTCCAATTTACCCCCCACCAAAACATCTCTCAGTTGGACCTCTTCTTTTTTAAACCATCTCCCTGCTATCTCTTCTCTGCCTGGGGGAAAAAAACTCTGTGTTTCTCAATGGCATCAATATCGAATTGAAGTCCCACTTCATACTTTTGTGCAAATTATCCCAAGCCCTTAGGACATTTAAAGTGTATATATTTACATTATCTTTTAAACCTCTATATTGTGTTGGCACCCACACCACTCTGTCTAGATTTGTTCTGCTGAGTTTGTTTTCAATTCTTACCCAACTTTTCTCATGGTTATATGTCCAGTCTATAATTCTTGCCAGTATTACTGCTTTATAGTATCTTCTAAAGTCTGGAACCCCCAATCCACCTCTCTCTTTATTCCTACTCAACAACTCCTAAGATACTCTTGGTTTTTTATTCCTCCATATATATCTTATCATTTTCTTAATTACTTTAAAAAAGACTTCTGGGAGTTTGATTGGGATCATTTGAAATCTATATAAGATTTTAGGGACAATTACCATTTTTACCAGATTTATACGCCCTATCCATGTCGGGCATCCTCCTTCTAATATTTTTAGTTCCTCTCTGATCTCATTTAACAATGAAATGTAGTTTAATTTATATAAAATGTTTATATGAAGCTGTAAGTTTTACTCCTAAATATTTTATATCCCTATCCTTCCATATAAAGGGGAATTCCTTTTGTATCTTTTTCACTTTTTAAAATATTTATATTTAGAATCTCAGCTTTTATTGGATTAATCTTTAAATTTGACAATTCCCCATATTCCCTCAATAGCTTCATTAAATTTGGGAGTGTTATCCTGGGATTTCCTACATAGAACAGCAAGTCATCCGCAATGGCAGCCACTTTATGTTCTATATCATCTATCTGGATTCCCTTTACATGTCTATTCTCCCTTATTGTTGACAACAAGGGTTCCAGTGACAGAACATACAGCAGTGGGGACAGTCGGCATCCCTGTCTTGTTCCATTTGACATCTCAATGGGTTTCGACTTCTCCCCGTTCACCACAATAACTGCGGAGGGATATCTATACAACTTTCCTATCCACTCTCTCATTCTAGCCCCGATTCCCAGAGCTTCCAGGGTATCCCTCATGAATCCCCAATCCACTCTATCAAATGCTTTCTCGGCATCAATCGAGAGTACCACAACCGGGTCTTTTCCCTTTCTACTTTTTTGGATAAGCATCAGTGATCTTAACCCATTATCTTTGCCCTCCCTCCCCGGAACAAAACCAACCTGGTCCTCATGTATCCATTCTGGCATTAATTCTTTCAATCTGTTTTGCTAAAACCTTTGCATATAACTTAGTATCAGTATTCAATAAAGAGATAGGTCTATAGCTCGAACATTGAGATGCGTCTTTTCCTTCCTTTTGAATAAGTACCACATGAGCTTGTAACGATTCTCTTCTTACTTCCATCCCTCTTCCCAGAGCATTCATATATCTTCTGAGCTTTGGTATTAATATTTCGCTATATTTTTTATAGTATCTCACCGTGTAACCATCTGGTCCTGGGCTTTTCCCTGATGTTGAATTTTTTAATGCTGTTTTTATTTCTTCCTGTGAGATTTCTGCATCTAGGGAATTCAGTTGTTCCTCACTTAGTTTTGGTAACCCTATATAGTTCCTATTTTTTTTTTCCTCAGGGCTCTCATCAGATATTTTCCAGGTCTATCTCCCCATCTATACCTCTCACTTAATACTTTATTGTAAACTCCCCTCCTCTCCTCTTCCATCACATCTAGTTCTTCTTTTTTTATTATCTTCAGCTTTGTTTCTTTTGTTATTCTATTCTTATGTATTTGCTCCAATTCAATTATTTATTTTAAGAGCCCACTCATTTTCTCTCTTCTTTCTTTTTTACCCCTATCGCTATCAGTACTTCTCTTATATATGCCTTATGAGATTCCCACTCTGTGGCTATCGATACCTTTCCTGTCTCATTCTCCTTAAAAAAAACGTTCAATCTCCTCCCCGACTTTCTGAGCAGTATCTTTTTCTAGTAGAAGTGCCTCATTCAACTTCCATCCCAGCCCTCCTGCCATCTTCCTTCCCCACTCTATTTTCATAGTGACCGGGGCATGGTCCGATAGAGACATTGTCTCTATTCCTACCTGAATCAGATGTTCAATTAGTTGATGTTCTATTAATATATAATCTAATCTTGAGTACTTCTTATGCATATTTGAGAAAAAGGTGTAGTCTCTATCTTGCATATGCGTAATTCTCCAGGCATCAACCAGTTGACATTCATGCATTTCTTTTTTCAATAATCTCAGGGCTCTACAATCCTCTCTCTGCATATGGGAAGTAGCATCTTTTTGTGGATCCATACAGAAATTAAAGTCTCCTGCCAGAATCAAGCGGCCTTTTTTAAAGTCCATCAACTTCCTCAACACCCTTTTCAGAAACCCCTCCAGCTTTATATTAGGACAATAAATATTAGCCATAGTGCACTCAATTTCCTGTAGTTTTCCTCTTAGGAACAAAAATCTTCCTTCTGGGTCTGTTTTTCTGTCTTCCAACTCAAACCTAATATTTTTTGCCAACCCTATTTCTACCCCTTTTGCTCTTTTAATCGGTGAGTCTGCATAATACAATATTGGGTGGTATCTAGATTTCAACCTAACATTTGATTCTATCTCAAAATGTGTCTCCTGTAAGAATACCACTGAAGCTGCTCTATGTTGTAGTTCTTTAAATAATCTAAATCTTTTCCCGGGACAATTCAACCGATTTACATTGTAAGTTATAAACTGTATCTCTTCCATCTTTCTTGGATCTCCCCTCT